TGGATAGCAGTCCATCATTGAGCCAAGTTTGTATTTTAGTCAAGCTCTAATGTTCAAACCACAAGTTTCCCTTTGGAAAAGCAAATTTTATTCAGGGTAAGATAACAGTGAATCCTAGACTTGCACAAGTTAAGATTTTAGCTATCAGCAAAACATCCTGGGAGCTGGTTCTATGGTTCAGTGGTTAGAAAGAAGAAGCTGTTCAAGTGGAACTTCTCACCAATGTCATACAGAGTGAACGGGGGTGGTTCACTACAATGTGCACAGCAGATCCTAGCCGTTAAGTTTAGAACTGGTGGAAATAAGCAATTTTGGTTCATTTGACAACTTTCCATGGAAGTATCAATAGTGCAGTGAAAGGCTTGAGACAGTTTGTCTGTGAGAGTGGGGTTGCTGGGTAGAAAATATTTTCTCACCAAGAGTGTGATCCTGCCCTATGATACCAGTCATAGGGCAGGATCTAATAAGTCTAATCTGGGCCTTGGAAAGATAGATGATGTCATGCAGAGTTAGATTATAGTGAAGACTTTGGTAGCATGATGTTGAGAATGGTCATTGCTAGAATGTAACAGAACTGACATGTCATAACTGTAATACTGGCATGCAAAGCATCTTTTGTACTGGACAATGGATGTGAAAATTATTCTAAATCAGATGGAAACTGCAAGAATACAGAGTAGGACAACGGAAACCCCTATGATGCCACATCTTAACCGCACCAGGAAGAAGTCTTACAAATGAAGGGTTAGGGAAGTGACCCGATGTATTATATTATCTGATCATAAGGGTTCTTGAAGCACCTAATGCTGCAGAAATAGACCAGACCAGAAGGTATAGACATGAGCAGTAATTTTTGTAGTTAGTTTGCTATTCTCTTGATGAAGAGGTTTTCTTTGTTTTCACGGATTGCACCTAATGAGGGCTAGAGAATAGATCAGGCAAAATTTTCTGTTAATAATAATAAATATGCAAGAATATATTTGAGCAATGGAGAAATGAAACCTAAGATGATGAGAGAACGGATCAATTAAAGAGGGGTGCAGAATTTCAACATGGAACTAATTTTACCTCAAAACTATTAGAGTGAGAGTTAGGTTTAGGGTATTTAAATTGAGTTGAAATTAGTTCCAAGTTGAAATTTGTTCTATTACTCATCAAAAATATTAAAAATCAAAATTACCTGTATCCCATCATTCTACAAATAACTTTTGCATCATTGTTATCAAATTGGTCATCACAGACAGTTCCTTTGACTCCTTTACGAGTGATTTCAATTCTTCCACTGATTTCCGATGAGCCATCAATAAGCTGAATTCTGACAGCTGCAGAGAAAAAGATGTAACAGAAAAAGTAAGTGAAAATTAATACCTTTCTTTTTTACTCATTTCTCCCAAGTAATGGAATGAAGTCACGAAAACACAAGGGGTTAGTTACTGTGTGTGAAAGAATAATACAAGGGCTGTTAAAGAATAAGTAATGTTTTAAAAATATGATAAAGAAAAACATTATTAAGGAGTAAAAACTATAAAAGAAATGAAATCAAAAAGACAGTAGATAATAACTGACATTTCATTGAAATTTTTGAAGATGAAAATTGGCAGGAAAGTAAGAAGTCAGAATTCAGGTTGTTAGTAAAGTTACTCACAGTTAAATCTAGCCAATTCAACAGTAAAATGATTTGACCTTGTCAGCAATCTAGTACTGTGCTTAAATTTATCAAGTTTAGGCACCATTGAAGAAAGTTCATCAGAATAATTACAATGAGAGCAATTGAAGAAAATGTACAGGAAGCTAGACTATGGTGGTTGGAAAGTGACTAAAGCTGGGATACCGGGTTTGGATCAGTAACATTGCAGATTCTGTTTTGAACTTTACCAAGAATTGAGAATCTCTCAATATAAAGCAGAATCAAGAATGCTTTGATATATAGCAGGTATTAGAATTTAATCTGAGAACAATTACTACTATGTTTTACAAGTTCACGTCCTAGTTTCTTTTCTGATCTTTGCCCACATTTTTTTCCTTGCTTTCAAATTCCACTCTCAAAGCCTTGATCCTTATCTGAGATAAGAATATATTTTCTGACAAATGAGAGAGCTGGAAAATATAAAAAGAAATCTGACCTTCCTTGCCCTGACCATGGTGCCATTAAAATGGGAGGTGAGGTGGGTGTAATACCCACAACTTGTCAGACCCTTGTTTCCAAAAAGCAGCACCCAAAACTTTGATTCTTATCAAACTTAAGAATATATTTTCTGATGAAAGAGAGGGCTAAGAAAGTTTATAGCAATTTTGGAGGGAAAAGTTCCCAATACTTCTGAGCCTTCTAATCTCAATAAATATGGAGAGTATTCACCACTTTGGCAGTAAGTACCAAGAACTTCTTCAGCAGGAGTCCGGGTCCTGAACCATACTCCAAGATGCGAATGGTCTGTCTGATCAAGTAAAGGGTCCGGAAAGATATTGCGGTTAATCTTGGCCTCTGTTACCTTATTATATCATTCTCAATGTTGTTGTGACACAACATGAAAATGAATAAATCATCAGTGTACACAGAAGCCCTGTCTGGAGAATCTCCAGGGTCATCAATTTTATGTAGAGCCAGAATGCATGCCCTGTATTTTAGCCAATGAAAGAGGGGCTCCAATGCCAAAGTGTAAAGTAGGGGCAACAAATGACAAACTTGTCGAACTGTCCATGATAGTTCAAAAGAATGACTGCTTTCCATTTACCTGTACCACAGCATTGGAGGAGTGATACAAGAGGGTGTTCCAATTGCAGAAGTCAGGTTCAAATCTGGGGGGGCTGCAGGGCAGCAGTTAGGTACTGATGGATGAAATGGAATGCCAAAGATAACTTGCCAGACCTTGAAACTAGGGTCTCTAAATATATTAAAATGTCATTTTTGTATATAACAGGTTATGTTAAAAGAAAAGATTGTCCCACAGAAGAGTAGATATTTAATATTAGATTTTATTCTCAACAAAAATTTCTCTGGATACCACAGGGACACCAGATATTTTATTTCTAAATATATTTAATTAGTTAATTTTACCAAATTATCCTGTCAACTAATTTTGTACAAATTGTACACGTGTGTTCTCATTTGCTTTTTCATAATGAAAGAAAGCCTAATTTTTTTTTTTTTTCACCCAATCTTTCTCTTTCTTTCATTATCAAACTGAAGAAGCCAAAGAGAACACACATATTCTCCAGTGGCAACACATGTTTTTAATAAAATATATGTTCCATGAGAGAGAGAAAGAAGCCTACTTTCCATTAAGATGGAAAAATGGAATAGTCTGCTTGAACTGGAAATCATGATTTTGAAATGGAAATTCTTTTTTTTCTAACGATCAGATTTGCCAACTACCATTTATATTTATTATTACTGTGTCTACCTTTTCTAACTAGCTCATAAGCCCCACCCTGACAGACATCAGTGGATAAAGTCAGTAATGTTTTAATACATCCTCTTAACTACTGTCTCCCTACAGTTTACAGTATTTAATTTTGACCGGAAAACTAAAATGATATATACAAGTGTGACAATTAAGACCATAAAACAGATTAAACAAGTTACTTTCACACTGAGGTTATTTGAGATAAATGGAATCCAAAAAGGGACAATGTTATTATAATTGGCTTTTTGTTCCAATATAAAAACTTTTGCATTATGCTTACAATTTTATTTGACTGTTATTATTGGATTGCATTATAAATAATGATTATTACAGGAATTCATTGCCCCAAATTTTGCTAAGGGTATGGCTTATAGGAACATAATGCCAAACATTTTACTGCAGAAATATATTACGCATAATTTACTATATAAATACATTGAAAGTTATTAAAACATAGCAATGCACTGCCAAATATTCATATTATAAAAATATAATATTCATATTATAGAAGTAAATATATCTCTCTTAAATGACAAAAATCAGAATGAATTAATGAATTAATCAGAAAAACTGCTAACTTACAATTTTGGTCTGTTGTGGAAGTTGAAGGTATACTTGTGGTTGATGATAAGGTTCTATTTGCTTCTTTGAAACATTTAATGGCAACATCCTCATTGTGTTCACAGTTATGCTTTCCCCAAGAAAGATTGGGACAAATTTCAACTTCATCTTCTGATCCAGTACAATTGAGGTTATCAAGCCAGATGACACCTTCCCCATTTCCAAATATATTTGAAATTTCTTCTCCAGTACTGAAATCAAAATTTATTTTTAAAAAATTACATTATGGATTTAAGGACTGTAAATTCTTGGTCTAAATTATCTTAAAAAACTGACTGACAAAAACTGATTTTGAAATTACTTCTTGAATTAGATGAGAATTTTTTTACCACATACTCATAAAAACAATCTAGACTTAAATTTTAAAATTATCATGAAAATTAATTACATAAACAATTTCTCAAGGGTTTTTTTAAAAATTAAAATTGATCTAATTAACAATGTTTTTTTTCAGTTGTGCTGATCAAACATGGAAAAGGCTACATTTAACCATGAGAAATGGGAAGCAATCCCCTGGCCTGGGTTACATAACATTCTGTGGAATGAGGCCCAGATAAAAGGGAGCATCATTTTAAGGAGTAAGAGTGCTCAATGATGTGACATATATCAGACATTTAAAAAGTTGTGTTAGAGGGGTAAGTAGAAATGAAAAAGACAATGTTACAGCAATTCCTTTGCTTAGAAATGCACGGTTTGCCCACTCTATACTGAGAAATGGTTAATTCAATGCTCAGAGATTACACCTTAGAAGGGCTGGAGAATGGATCAGCTAAAATATTTTAACAATAGTAAGTATATGTAAAAATCATTTGAGTTTCCAAACAATGTTATGCATTCATTATTTGCATTATCTAATTACTTATTTATCTATAGAAAAAAATATTTAAACTATTAAAACTCAAAATTACCTGTATCCCATCATTCTACAAATAACTTTTGCATCATTATCATCAAATTCATTATCACAGACACTTCCTATTGTTCCCCCACGAGTGATTTCAATTCTACCACTGATTTCTGATGAGCCATTAACGAGCTGGATTCTGGTGGCTGCAGAGAAAAAGAGAAAACACAAAAAGAGAGCAAGACCTGTGAAAATTGATGCATGCATTTAAACATAGATACTGGAGATTTGCAATTGTTTATTTCTTTTCAGGTAGCAAAAACAGATAGAAATAACAAACGTACAAAGATTTTGACCACCTTACAAACAACAATAACAAAGAAATTGAAGAAAATATATTTGATGATTATCTTTTCAGTTTGTATTGCTAACAATATGCCTCATATTGTTAGTTCCATATTGTTGCAATATAAACATACAACTAAAAAGATATAATAGTGCATTTCTAAAGAAGTTTAAACAAAACAAGTGTATGTGTATATTTGTACAAATTCAGATATAACTAAATATATCCGTTTTGCCTCCCAGCCATCGTCCATCTTGCATGGGTTCCTACATCAGATAGTTAGCTAAACACCTTATGATAATCAAAAATCTGAAGATGAAGTCCTCTCCATCAGCAGGTATATTGAAAATGAAAAGTGTGAAATTAAAAAAGAGATATATACAAACTACAAACTTGGTTTATCTGAATGATAAAAAAGAATTGAAAGAAGAAATGATAATATTAAGGATATTAAGATGGGTTATAAAAACTAATGACATTTGATTTTGATATTAAGTATATTAAAGGAAATTCACACACGCACACACACACACACTGTGGAAATGCATTGTTGACAATTTTATTAATTAAATGCATTGGCAAAGTGGTCAACTTTTTCAGCAAACTTCCACTAGGATACTTGTAAATTTCTAATCTTTCAGCAATATTCCATATCTATTGCTTTTCAACATTTCTTTCAGCCATTTTTTATTCTATATGTTGGTTTCAATCAAATTAAGGAATCACTGCAAAACACTTTCCCCTCCCCTGTTATAAGCAGAAGTATACAAATGCATTCCGGGAGTTTTTTCCTAGCCAATAAAATAAGCCAATTCATGGTTTCATCTAACGCAGTCCTAGTCTGTCTTGATTTGAATTCAGAATGCTACGTTCTTTTTGCCAAACTTGCTTACCTGTTTATGCCAATTCTTTGTTTGTGAACATTTTGCCATATTACTGTTGCTTTGCCTTATTTGTGTTAATTTGCTTTGCATATATTGTTTGCTTGCTTTATATTATTTTTTGCCCTGTTTTTTTTCTTGTTATTGCAAACTGTCAATAAGCTGGGAAATAATGAAAAATGCACATGCCTACAACCACATCACAAAGAAAAGCCTACTTTGCGTACATGAAAAGGTAGCAATAATTTTTCATACCCAGCAAAAGAAATTACTAAATATAATATCAGTAATAATTTCTAAATACAGACATTGAAACAAATACCTATTATCACAATTTATACCAAACGGATAAAAAAAAAAAAATACCGACCAATGCCATCAATTACTTTCTAGTTAAAACTACCATCATAGTAATTATAATTATTGTTATTCCCATTCCATTTCTACAATCACTTCTACCATTTTACCATAACTATTTGCTGCTACAATTGTTATTATCATCACACGCTCCCCCACCATTACTACCACACAAAAATTATCATTACCACATCATCCTTACTCCCCTACCCAGCAAAATTAATACCACTGCATAAATACTAATAAGTATTATAAATTGGAGTTTCTACTATTGACATGAGTGCAATCACCTAAATCAAGCAAATAACTGGCTTTAAAATAATAACAAAACAGCATTAAAAAAAATTAAAAATAATAACAATTTTACATACCAGTCGTACACACACCCCATCTTAAAAAAAAAGATTGATAGATGTGTGAATGCACATGCATACGTATATATGTGCGTGCAAGAAAACATTATTATGCAAACAAAATAGATGAACAGTTTGCATGTTGACACTGTGACTTATGAAAGTAGTTCACTACACAATCCAACATTGAATACAGTGACCAATTGCATACGTATGTACGCAATGACACATGGAGGCACATATACAACCAGTCCCACACTGTTCATGTATGTTTATGTTTCTCCAAGCTGCAATGTGTGAACATGCTTGTATGTATGAGTGGCATTCCGACAACAATTTACCTCCCATTACCATAAAAACACCGATATACGCAACCATATATAAATCAAAAATTAAAAAATTAATTAGTTTGTCAGTGTGAAACCCATGGTCACAAATTCACATCAATCCATCTAACATATAATTATATATATATATATATATATATATATATATATATATATATATATATATATTGTGTGTATTTAGGCAGATGGATTTCTACATGTATGAATATGGTGTTTTCCTTTCGTCTTTCAACGATAATGTGATTAAGCTTATCAGACAATATGAAAGGAACTTACTTAAAATAAATAGACAAAACTTCTCTATATTATTTAATGAAACATATATATATATATGGAGCATGTTGGAATCATAGTTTTAAATAAATAATTATATTTATGCTCTACTTTTGTATCGAGCACTATTTTTTACAAATAATAACAAAAATACTAAAGAACTTTGGATTATTTATCTAACGAGTTCTTTCCTATTTTCTATATATTTTTCACACACACACACACATATATATATATATATATATATATATATATATATATATATATATATATATATATAAGACAAAAAATTATTCCAAAATAATGCATTGCAAGTACTTTTGCGACGGAAATTCATTGGTAACAATTTTTCCTATAGAAAATCAGTTGTATATTATTTTTCTAAAAAAAAATGAAAAGAGAATTTGGTATTTTATTCTCCATTAATCATTCATATTTATTAGTTGTGACCTATACAAAGGATGAAGCTTTAAAATTTTGATCAAGTTATTTTATGTAATGACATATCAACATTTCCTGATAGAATAACAATAATATTGAATATAAGTCTTATAGGACAGAACTCATAAAAATGTCAAAAACATTAGACAAGGAGGAGTTTGGCAGTAAAGTAAGACATATTCTCAGAATAGTAGTCATGGACCTGTTTTGCACTAGTGTCAAATTGGTGTATATTACTGAGATTTATAGTTATATCTGCAAATAGCCAACTAAAAATTTCCTCATTTTTTGGATGGCTATTCTCATCCTTGCCAACAGAATAGGAAGAGATCATGTACTAACATTGGAATTGTTCAATGACAAAAAATACCTCCCACTTTCTTCCATACATCTGAAGGAAACTGGATGAGCTAATATTTAATGATAAGAACAAATAAAATAACATCAATAATCTAAATAATTCTTGGAAGGATGAGAATATAAGTCAAAACACTTCCTGAATTAATCAGAAAGACAAGTTACTTACCATTTTGGTCTGTCGAGAAAGATGGTGTCGTACTTGTGGTTGTATTTACTTTTTTGATACATTTAATAGCAACATCCTCACTGTGTCCACAGTTATGAGTTCCCCAAGAAAGATTGGAACAAATTTCAAGTTCAACTTCTGAGCCAGTACAATTGAGGTCATCAAGCCAGATGACACCTTGACCTTGTCCAAATATATTTGGAATAACTTTTCCAGAACTAAAATAAAAAAAATTATTTAATCAAAAACAAACTACTGTATTTGATGGCATATAAGGTGCACTTTTTTTTACTAAAATTATCTTTTAAAATTCCCTTGCATCTTATATGTCAAATGTAGTTTTAAAATTTGTGATAGTTGGCCGAAATTAGCTACCTGGCAACTCCTCTTAGCTTAGACTTTAGAGTAACTTTCATATACCTATTGTCATTATTTAAAAGGCTATTATACAGATTAAAAGAGTTATCATTGATAATATTCATTATATTAATTTCATCACATTTAATATTAGTACTTTGTTTCACTAAAATTATATGCAATAAATTTAAATTATATATTTGTCAAATATATTTGTTTCATTAATATTTTCTTGGGATAACTTACAGTTGCATTGGCATAAATACAATCAGAATTTTCATATCCTAATTATTCCACTAAGACATTTACAAGATGCTGGTGGTATAGATCATATAAAGGAAAATTTTTGAATTTCTTCAGATATGACAACACCAAGAAAGAGGTAAAGCTACACTGTTGCATACAAGCTTCATGTAATAAACTATGCTAAAGAGCATGGAAATAGAGCAGCTGCCAAATATTTTGGCCCTCCACCTACAGAAAAAATGATGTTACTGGAGGTTGCAGGAAAATAACCTACAGGCAATGAAGAAAGGAAACCTTTGCCAACCAGCCCAACACCGGTATGAAATTGAAGAGGAAATTAAAACATGGGTTGTAGATGTGAGGAGTACCAGCAGAATCATTAGTATGAAAATGATAAGGAACAAAGTTAGAAGATTAGCAAACAAAAAGGGAATTCATAACTTTATAGGAACAGAAGGATGGTTTTATCATTTTATGAAAGAGGAAGGTTTGTCAAGATGCACAGAAACATCAATTGTGCAGAGAATGCCAGCTGAATATGATGACAAAATAGTAAAGTTTCTTAAATTTGTCAAACAGGCTCAAAAAAGATCTTGGCCAGAGAGGAAATGTGGATGAAGTCCCACTAATGTTTGATGTTCCATCAAGCAAAACTGGGAGTATTAAATGATTCAAGGCTATTACAATAAAAATCACAAACTATGTGAAGACCCAATATATGGTCATTATTGCATGTTGCACTGGTGACATAAAACTGCCTCCTTTTCAGATTTTTAAGAGAAAAACTACATCGAAAGATAAAATACCAAAAGGTGTGCATGTTCATGCTCCTGTTCATCCAAAAGGCTGTATGGACAAAGCTGTTCTTCAGTTATGGCCATGAGCTGACTGTTACGAAAGCCCTCTCTTCTGGTTTGGGATCACTTCCGAGTGCATAGGAGTGAATCCATTAAAAAGAAAGTGGCAGAATTGAAGACAGAGATAGCGATTACTCCTGGTAGACTAATGAGTCAGTTGCAACCTCTGGATGTATATTTGAATAGACCATTCAAGTAAAACATGAAGGTGCAATGGAACATGTGGATAGCAATGCCTGAGCATGACCTTACACTTACAGGAAGAATAAAAAGACTCAGCACTGCACGATTCTGTGAATGGGCGAAGCAAGCATTGGAAAATATTAGACCAGAAATTGTTGTGAAATCTTTTAAAGGGTGTGGCATTAGCAGTGCTCTCAATGGAAATGAGCATGAGGCATTATTTACTGATTTACCCTGCTGAAACTGGGATGAATCTTATACACCAATGCATCTTATATGCTGTCAAATATGGTACATTACGTAGGTGGTGAGTGAAAATTTCCTGACCAAAGTCCACTCTCCCAAATCTGAGAAAATCAGCAGAATTGATTCTGAAACAACTTTCAATTAAGCTGATAATTTTAAAAAATCTTCATACACCCTTGTGCAAATTAATTGAAACAAAACAAATAATTCCATTATTATATACTTGTTTTCATATTTTTCCAATGAAACATGAACCAGTGCACATGTTAGTACTTTGTATATCCATTCCAAAAAGTTGTTCCTTACAGATTCGTGATTGGATTTAAATCAGGAGAGTTTCTGAACCAATCTATAGTACCTTGATTTGCTCACTGGTAAGGCTTGCCAGTGTGTTCATGCAGAATTACTAATTTCTAATTCCATGGAGTAACATCCATTGCAGACAATGGCAATAGGACAACTATTTGACAGTCAAGACAAAAGAGTGACATAAATCTGATGCAATCTCAGATGATGCAATATTTTTCAAGGCCAAACAAATTTCATCATACACTGCAAAAATAGATTCATATTTCTGCACACCACTGCAAATGACCTAATCTGAGGAAAAAATAGAAATTGATTACACCCTGTCACTTCAGTGGGTCTAAAACTGACTGTATGGTGAAAGAAAGGAAACTAAAGCGGTTGTTTCAATTCATTTGCACAAAAGTATAAATACAATTTTTGAAACAATTATTAAAGTTAAAATTGTTAAAAAAAACTGTTTCAAATTCTTTTGATAGTGAATATCATTGAAATTACACTATAACAATAATTATTTCTATGATTTTGTAAGAAGGTGGAAGTTGGCAGCATCTATTAACAAGAAAGGAAAAGAGAAGCTCATGTTGGACTATATTTGTAGCAAGAGAAATGATTTCACCTGTATTGGGAAACCAGAACAGATCAAAAGGATTTTTGTTACATTTATGAATTGTAAAACTACTCTTTCAAGTAGATTCAAATGGAAACTGCAATTAATACAGAGCATGCAACTGAAATCCCTATGATGATGCACATTAACAGTACCAGGAAGAAGATGCTTACAAATGAAAGGTTAGGGAAGTGACCCCAGATATTGTATTAAGTTACCATATGTGTTTCTTGAAGTACCTAATGCTACAGAAATAGAACAAATAAGTGGATATATACATGGTTAATTTTTGTAGCTAATTTGTTATTCTCTTGAGGAAGAGATTCCCTTTGTTCTAATGGTTTAAACCTAATGAAGGCTGGAGAGTTAGACCTGAGATGTTTGGAGAACGGATCAATCAAAACCTTATCTTAACAATAATAAGCATATAAAGAAGTGCTTTCAGTGATCCAAAAATTTTGCAGGTAATAAACTGTTGCAGCCATGGCATTCATAATCTAATACCTTGTTTCTCTAAATAAAATATGTAAAAAAAATAAAAGTCAAAATCACCTGTATCCCATCATTCTACAAATAACTTTTGCATCATTGTTATCAAAGTGGTCATCACAGACAGTTCCTTTGACTCCTTTACGAGTGATTTCAATTCTTCCACTGATTTCTGATGAACCACCAATAAGCTGGATTCTGACATCTGCAGAGAAAAAGATGTAACAGAAAAAGTAAGTGAAACCTGTGAAAATTAACACATTTCCTTTTTACTCATTTCTTGCAAACAAGGGAATGAAGTCACTAAAACACAAGGGGTTAGTTACTCTGTGTGAAAGAATAAGAAAAGGAAAACATTCTTAAGGAGTGAGAAAAATAAAAGGAAACATAATATTGCAGATTCTTATTTGAACAAGAATCTCTCAACATATCTTGGGTTGGTTGGTTGGTTTTGTTTTACATCTTAACCCCTAATGTATCATTTAAAACTTAAGACAGACTTAAATTGCTTAATATCTAAATTGTATCTTCTTTTATACTCAGTTATACAGCCTCAACTATATATTTTTGGTATGTAATCATAGGCTATCAGCCATTTTTTTTTCCTCATTTGGTATTAACTATTGATTTTCCTTTTTGTACTAGAATCATATGGTATCTACTTCTTTGGTTGTTTCCAAATATTCAGGAAATTGCTGTTTATCCACATATTATTGTATCTTTTTAGAAGTTTTAAGGATTCTTCTGATAATTATCTTAGGAATTCATAGTGGATTTCATCAGATCCAAATGATGTGTTATGGTATCTTTTTATTGATGATGTCAATTCTGTTAAATTCAAAGGGTTGTTGTAGCCAGTGGCGTAGCTAGTGTAAACGTCACCCGGGGCGGTCCGCTCAAATGTCACCCCAATGACCCCGATTCACCCTATGCTGAATGGTTAGTTGTAGCTAATTTTCATACATGCTATACCTCTACTTTACTCTACTGACTGGTACGTTACTGTTTACATGTATGATCCAAGACAAAATCCAATATCACAAAATAAACAGTTCAAATCAAAAGATTTTTAAAATGCAACTGTTCACTTTCAGAACAACTAAATACAAAACATGGCAATACACAAAAGAATGACATTTGATACTATGGTCTTAGAATGAATGTTTTCTTGTTTTCATTGTGGCAAACTGGTCACTGACATCTGTTTGTCTTGTAAGCTCATTTTCAATGGACAGCACAGCTAGATCCGACAGTCTCGACTGGCTCATGGTTGACGTAATTTCCTGTTGCTAATTTTCTGGTGTCCAATTTTCCGTTGCATCATTTTCTGGGTACCATTTAATTATCAATGATGTTTGAAAGTATTTTTCTTGACAAAAATGTTCTATTTAATTTTTAAGAATTTTTCGGAACATTGTAAATCAACTGCATTCTTTTAAAGGTTACCTAGAGAATTTATGCAAAGTTTATTTTTTTGTTTTTCTTTATACAAGTAAAATAAATTTACATCATATTTTGATGTTATTATGAGTTTAGTTTTAGTGATAATTTAAAAACAATAAATATTTATCATTAGTACCAATAATGGAAAATTAAGTTAAAAATTTAAAAGAATCGTTTTTGGAATCGGAAAATAGGCACAAATTTTTCCGATTCCGATACCCCAAAAAGTTCCGATTTTTCCGATTCTCGATTCCGATTTCAATTAATCTTCCCGACACTAGTAGATATGTTCAAATCACTCACTCAATGGAAAATTGTATCTCATCAAATTGATACACAGGCAAGACTGAAATTGTTGCACTTTTGACTTCATATTTCGCTTTGTTGTTATTAATGATGCAGAGTTAAAATACCATATCATCCAATAAAATGTTACAACAATGTCTCTTGTTAGTAACCAAGATTGTCGCAACTGAAACACATGAAAGCTGAAAACATTGCTATTTTTCCTACTCACAAATTTCCCAACAATTTATTAGAAAATTTCTGATGGGGGGACAAAACTGGTGGGGGGGGTCATATGCCCGTCTGCGAAACCCTGTGTCTCCACCACTGTTTTCAGACTATTTTTGGCACCTTAGCCTGGTTGAAAAATTTTGTTGGAGGTGACATTGTCTCACCCCTCCTGTGCTGGCACCCAGGGCGGTCCGCACCACTCCCCCCACCCCCACCTTAACTACGCCACTGGTTGTAGCTTTCTGGGTTGCTAGATGTAAAACTGAGTTTATATTTTTCTGTGTTTTCTTTTAGAACTAGGAATTTTGATGAGCACAAGCAATTTTTAAAACAGTTTCAGCTAGTGCATCTACTATATCATTTTTTTATTGGTTATGATGTTGCTATTTTTTAAAAGATCCTTCATAGGTATAGTTTAGTATTTTCAAGTTGTTGACATAAACATTTCTCATACTGATTTTGAGTTTAGGTTGTTGACAAAATAATGTATACAAGTGATAAAATGCAGCAGATATTTAATTTCCATCTGATTTTAGAAATAAAAAATAGATTTTCTGGCAAAAGGTAAGAAGTGGCAACTTTTCACTTTGCCCTTATATAGTCTTCTGAGATTTGGGGGTTGAGCCATGTATAAAATAATGAATGTGTGCATTTTTGGCAGAGAGGTGCCTCATAGGCAGAAGCAGAGCAAAGTCATCACCCCTTCCTCCTTCAACTCACTGATACATCAAACAGTGAGAGAGCAGATATCATTATGGCAACTGAGCTGCAACAGAATACAATATAGAATGCAATATGAAGCATTCAAGAAAAATACAGTTTGAAGTAAAAGAAAATTGTTTCATACACCTGGCTGAATGTGGAAAAGCATTTAAAGGGTTAAATTCAATTTATACCCAGGTTTAAGACTTATAGAGTTTGTTAGAAACTGACATAAAAATTATAACATTTAAGAATAAAATGAAAACTTTATATATGTATATAAAGTACAGGTAATGAATCAGTTGGTATATCATCTAAGTGGATCCTAATAATATAAAATATTAGAACTGACCCACAAAAAGAGCTTGATGTATTTACTATAACAGAGCATATAAATTACACAACAAAGAAATCCACAATTACCTCATGAGTATAGTCTTTTTCAACTGATTCTGAATACGTCAGACAGTGGACTGTATTCAGTTCCAGAACTAGAGATTTAAAATTTAATATTTAACAAAGACAGCAGTTGAAAAATTGATACAGAGCCTACCCATATTGAAGCTTTGACAGGACAGACTACCCTAGTAGGGGAAAGGGGAGGGTGGAAGGTATTTGTCTTAAAAGGAAAGCAGCTCCACATATTCAACCCAGATATTAACCATAACACCCTAAATTGGGGTTATTAGAAAGATGAAATGAAACTAAAGGAAGGCCAAAAAAAGGAGTTTTATAAAATTAAATTTTTAAGTATTACTTATATACAAAAAATTGTTTCCACCAAAAAAATACCAAAATATGCTTACAAATAAGATTTAGTAAGATTAGCAATAAATGTTATTAGCTAGTTTATATTACAAAATAATATATTAAAAAAAATTTCATATTATTTGTTATGATCCGGTTCCTTGTACCACGGTGATAGTCCAAGGTAGAACCAATAAAGAAGAACTCGAACATGTATATGGAATAACACAGATATATTACAAACAGGAATATATACAGAGAAGTAGAAAGTGTTAGTACGAACAATCAGGTTTAGTAGTAATTTTCTGAATGTGACTCTGTTTCAGACTGCCTCTGATTCAACTGACTGGCTCGCTCACTCTGACTGACTGACAGACTTCTGATGGACTTCTGACGGACCTCACTCCAGACTTCAGACTGAACTCTCTGCTTCCTCTTGAGGCGCAGTATTTATTACGTATGGAATAGTCCATTATGTTATTATGGGTAAGGTCCCCTAACATTATTAATGAATTAAAATAATAATAATTTAACTATAAATATATTATCCATTCAAAATTTGAAAAATAAGTTAAATTATTTAGAATGCAAACTATACCCAGTAATATATAAAAAAAACAAATCTTTTTAAGAAAAAAATTTGAAATGAAATAAAAGGATAAAAATTAAGTAATCTAAGAGAAGGGAGTTCATAAATTGGTGGATAGTTATAATATAGGATTGATATATATATATATATATATATATATATATATATATATATATATATATGAATAACTATAGTAATATGTTTAACATTAGAAAGGTTAGATAATTAAAAAATAAATTCAGATCAAACATATTATAGAAGTTTAAACCTACTTCTGTGACGACATTTTAAAACTAATTCATTCTTTGATTTAATAGTTTGCTCTGATTATTGAATTTTATTATTCTAATTTTCTCTTTTTGCATCACCTTAGTAGATCTGCATTTTCCATCAACTGGACAATATGTTTAGATGAGAAAATTAGAATAACTGCCACTTTGGTGACTATATCAAGTGGCATCACAAAGTGGCCATCATGTGAGCTGCATGACCTACTCCAACAAAAAGAGATAAGCTGTTTCATTACATCAGTTTCAAAGGTCAGGATGGTTAATTTATTACATATCAACACCATTTGTTTATTTACTGCTGAATACCTCTCTTAAAGGACAAAATCAGAAGGAAGAAATGAATTAATCTGAAAAGCAGCTGACTTACAATTTTGGTCTGTTGTGGAAGTTGGAGGTATACTTGTGGTTGATAATAAGGTTGTATTTGCATTTTTGAAACATTTGATGGCAACATCCTCACTATGTCCACAGTTATGCTTTCCCCAAGAAAGATTGGGACAAATTTCAACTCCATATTCTGATCCAGTACAATTGAGGTCATCAAGCCAGATGACACCTTCCCCATCTCCAAATATATTTGGAATTTCTTCACCAGTACTGAAATCAAAATTTATTTTTAAAACATTTCATTATGGAGTTAGGTTCTGAATTATTTTTGAAAATCTGAATTATTGACATAATTGAGAATAATCAAGACTTAAATTTTAAAATTATTATAAATAAATAAAAAATATCTCAAGTGCTTTTGTAAAAATTAATGTTAATCTACTTAAACCATAAGCAATGGTTGTTCAGTTGTGTTGATATGACATGGAAGAGGCTACATTCATAGAAGTGATCCCCTAGCCTGGGGCAAATTATATTCTATGGGATGAGGTGCAGATAATAGGGAGCATCAATTTAAGGAGTAATAGAGCTCAATAAAATGACATATATCAGACATTTAAAAAGTTGTCTTAGAGGGGCAAGTAGAAATTAAAAAGACAATGGTACAGGGATTCCTTTGCTTAGAAATAAACTGTGTGTCCACTCTACACTTATCATATTTTATTGGGAAATGGTTAAGTTGATGCTCAGAGATTACACCATATGAAGACTGAAGAATAGATCAGCCTAAAATATTTTAAGAATATGTAGGAAGGATTTGAGTTTCCAAACAATGTTGTTGCACTCATTATTTGCATTATCTAATTACTTATTTATCTAAAGAAAAAATATATAAAAAATATTAAAACTCAAAATTACCTGTGCCCTATCATTCTACAAATAACTTTTGCATCATTGTCATCAAATTCATCATCACAGACACTTCCTTTTGTTCCTCCACGAGTAATTTCGATTCTCCCACTGCTTTCTGATGAGCCACCAACGAGCTGAATTCTGATGGCTGCAGAGAAAAAAAGAAAACACAAAAAGAGAATGAGACCTGTGAAAATTGATGCATGCATTTAAACATAGATACTGGAGATTTGCAATTGTTTATTTCTTTTCAGGTGCAAAACAGAAAGAAATAAAAACATACAAATATATCTTTTCAATTGCCGACTTTATCTTGTATCCAAGAATTTAATTTCTTCTTTGTTGAACACTTCCTAAAGGTGATGGTGATGATGACAACATTCACCACGCAGGTGCAGGTTCATGGTTAGAACCTTTCAGTTTTACCAAAACCTGCTTTCGTCATCCATTCACTATCACCATTTGGTTTTGCAAGAGTTGGTTGAAGATGAAAGAAAAAGAAGAGTAGAACAATGTGATGATGGCATGAATTTGTTTCAGGTGGACCTCAACTTGCCAGCAAGTGACCCACATACCTGATTTCGTGACATTCCTTGCTAGCACATATGGAATGAGTCATGTTGAATGCATGAAACTGCAATAGACTGCTGCTAACTATGTTATAATTTGAAGTGCTGCCTTCTGTAGCATGTCTAACGTGCATAGCCCTCTTCATCTGCTGATTAAACTGTTGGGATCTTTGGGATTAGTTTCATTTACTCTTGAGTTTTTGTCTTTGATCTTGCTGCCAAGAGTGGCACTAGCAGGAGTTTAAAACTCCTGATGGCATTGATCTCAGAGATATTAGACTATGAAAGCCTTTCCATCACAACATGGAGTGACCATCAGAGTTATACATATAGTCACACATATATATTTTACATTGGATGTCAGAGTAAACACTTTGTTATCAAATGTTACTTTGTTTATAGACAATAATAGAAACAAAACAATAAATAAAAAAAATTAAAAGTATAAAATCATCATCAGTTATATGAGAACATTTTTTATTATTCCTGTTGTTAAAAATATTTACCAGATGAAAAATAGAGGTGAAATTAACTATTCTGAACCAATATTAAAAAAAAAAAAAAAAACAAAAAAGAAAAGAAATGATTTTTAAATAAAATGAAATGGCATGAAACATATTTCCTACAAATTTGAAAATACATCTGCATCTATAAAAATGTTATGTTACATATTTTACAGTCAATAAATTAAAGTATAAAAGAATAAAACTATTGGCAAATCTTGTTTAATTTTTAAATATTTGAATGATAAATGATAGGAAAAGAAATCTACAATAATGAAGCAATAGTCAAAGATAAACAAAGCAAACATTATGACTCAAAATGCTTTTCTTACAATTTTGAAAATTATGTCATCTTTCTTAAAAAAGAAAAAATGTTAGGCTTCCATGTTAAAAATAGAGTAAAATTATTCATGCCAATAGGTAAGTAATTTAACAAAATTGTGCGTAATATAATAATTCTTAATGATTAGTAAAACACTTTTTTTTTTGATGCATACCTTTATTTATCTTAAAAACAAAGAAAAGAATTATGTATTTTAATAATTAAAGACTATAAATTAATACTAATATAATAACAATTATAATATAATAAAAAAAAAATATAAGAATAAATGTATAATTAAAATAATCAAGACTTCACTTTTTAAAATATGACATCACTTTCTTTGAGCAATGAAAAAAAAACATATCCAGTCACTTCAACATCCAATGTCTATTTTCAGTATTTTATTTCTCTTCACGTTGGTTCAATATTCTTGGAATGTAAACATAAAAGTAATGAAATATGGCCATTTTTCTGGAGAATCTCAAACAAAAACAATTCTGTGTGAGTCTACATATATATATATATATATATATATATATAATTTTCAGATAGAAAACTGTATCCCATGTTTAAAGGAACTAAATGAATAAAAAGACAAAAGAAAAACTATTTTTATTCAACGTTAGACTTTCTGAGGGACTTTATTTGCCTTGATAAAGTCCATCAGAAATGCATCAGCTAAGAATACTTTTTAACTTTTATTTTTTTATTCGTATCTGTAATGTTGTAATAAATGATAATACAATGTTATCTAAATCTGTTACTCAGATTTTCATGGAATAACAATCATCAGGCTGATATAATCTTAAAAAAGAAAAATTTTATGCTTCCATATTAAAAATAGAGTAAAATTATTCATTCCAATGGGTAAGTAATTTAACAAAAATTGTGCTAATGTAATAATTCTTATTGAGTGCTAAAACAATTTAATTGATGTATACCTAGATTTATCTTGAAAACAAAGAAAAGAAATATGTATTTTAATAATTAAAAACTATAAATTCATACTAATATAATAAGAATTATAATATAATAAAAAGAAAATATAAGAATAAATGTATAATTAAAATAATCAAGATTTCACTTTTAAAATATGACATCACTTTCTTTGAGCAATGAAAAAAAAACATGTCCATTCACTTTGACATCCAATGTCTATTTTCAGTATTTTATTTCTAACAATATGCCTCTCCTCATTGGTTCCCTATTCTTGCAATGTAAACATAAAAGTAATGAAATATGGCAGTACATTTCTGGAGAATCTCAAACAAAACCATTCTGTGGGAATATATATATATATATATATATATATATATATATATATATATAATTATTTATTTAAAAATAAGATTCCAACACTACATAAGAGTTCTCATGTTTCGAAACAAGAGCTGAAAACTTCAATATTATTATTAACAAAAATACTAAAGAACTTTGGATTATTTACCTAACAACCTAACAAGTTCTTTCCTATTTTCTATATATTTTTACATATATATATATGTATATATATATATATATATATATATATATATATATATATATATATATATTATTTTCATATAGAGTGTATCCGTAAAAGAACAAAATGAATAAAAAGACAAAAGAAAAAACTATTTTTACCCAACATCTTTCTGAGGGAATAAAGAATAAGAATAGTTTTACCTCTTTTTTTTTTTATTCATGTCTGTAATGTTCTAATAATTGATAATACAATGTTATCTAAATCTGTTACTCAGATTTTCATGGAATAACAATCACCAAGCTGATATAATCTGGAACCAATAGCTATAACATAATTTATATACTCAAGGGTTGGAAGATATTTACTAACTCGGACATTTATTTTTAATTAAGTGCTTATTCCTATGCTGATATGTGGCTATAAGCTCATTTCTCTTATTCAACAGCTGACCACCCATTCACAATTGGATTATCAATTTTTCACTTAGCCACAAATTTTAATATTTTTAATCCTTGCCAACAGGTTCAGAAGAGATGATGCTATCAACTTTGTGATGCTAATATGAGAATATATCCCATTTCCTCCCAAACATATGAAGGAAGCTGAAAACTGGATCAGCCAATATTTAATGATAAGAACAAATAAAATAACATCAATAGATTAAGTAATTCTTGGAAGGATGAGAATATAACTTAAAACACTTCCTTAATTAATCAAAAAAACAGTTTACTTGCCATTTTCATCTGCTGAGGAAGTTGGAGTTATACCTCCGAGTGTATTTACTACATTGAAACATTTAATGGCAACATCCTCATTGTGTCCACAGTTATGCTTTCCCCAAGAAAGATTGGAACAAATTTCAAGTTCAACTTCTGAGCCAGTACAATTAAGATCATCAAGCCAGATGACACCTTGCCCTTGTCCAAATATATTTGGAATTACTTCTCCAGAACTAAAATGAAAAATTTATTTATAAAAAAAACAAACAAACAAACAAAATACATTACATAGGTGTTTGGGTAAAAACTTCTTGACCTAACCCTATTCTCTAAAATTTGACTAAATTACAAGAATTGGTTCTGGAACACCTTTCAATTAAGATGATAACTTTTTAAAATCTCCAAATGTAAATAATATTTGAAAGAATTATTAAAGTTAAAATTGTAAAAAATATTTCAAATGTTTCTGATAGTGAAGTTGATTGGAATTATCCCCATAACAACTGTTGTTGCTATGATTTTCTAAGGAGGTGAAAGTAGACATCATCTCTCAACAAGAAAGGGGAAGAGATCCTCCTGTCAGACTACAACAGATAGAAAGGATTTGTTTGTATTACAATTACATGTGATTTAATTGTAAAACTTCTCTTTCAAGTAGTTTCTTAACATATTATACCAATGTTTCGATATTCAGGTGGTATGAAGGATAGCAGTACATGACAGAGCCAAGTTTGAATTCCAATCCAGTCTATCAGATTCTTTTATGTGAAAATACCCTTGGGACAGGTATAAATCCATCTTACCTCTAGCAATGGGTTAAATAGCAGGACAGACTAAACTCTCTAGCTGGAGCTGGCAATTATTGTAGAAGGAGCAAAACTCTGAATTAAAAACTGTAATGATCAAATCACAGGTTGCCCTCTGTGAGACACCCAAGCCATGTTTTTCTTTCTTTTTTTTTCTTTTTTTGCAGTGAGGTTCACTTTATAGAAGGCCTGGGAGCCATTTGAGATAGTGGGTTACAAAATAGGAGGCAAAGTTTATGCAGGGGAAGATAACAGTTAACCCTAGACTTGCACAAGTTACGATTGTAGGGATTAGCCAAACATCATCTTGGGAGTTGGTTCTCTAGTGTGGTGGTTAGTGGGAAGAAGCTGTTGAAGTGGAACTTACTTCTCACCAATGGAATACAGAGGGAATGAGAGTGGTTCACTACAATGTAAATAGCATGGAAGGTCCTAGCCATTAAGGTTACAACTGGTGAAACTAAAGAATTTTAGTCCATCAGACAAGTTTTCATAGAGTTTTTCAATAGAGCAGTGTCATGACCTGGGAGAGATGCAACATAAATAAAAAAAAAAACAAAGCAAAAAAATTAAATTAAAGTGTATCAGTTGCCAAGGATATAATCTGGATTCCACTACAATAGTGAATTTCTTCCACAGGGTCAAAAACATGAGAATAAAACCAACAGCGACAAATCACAAATACAAATGAAAAGTGTAACATAATTTTAATTGTACATAAAACAATTTGAAACAAAGAATAACTGAATGTAAAAAAAATGTGTGCAATATGAGTACAAACAAAAAAAACACTAAGCTTTTTCTGCTGATTGAAATCAAATATATTTTTTCTCTTTTTTTTCTTTCTTTTCTCTCATTATATCTTTCTCCTTTCACTTTTTCTGTTTCTTTTTTAAATATAATATTTAACATCTTATTTTCTTGTGGTAGTAACTTCTTTATTTTCAGGGTTTTTTCTTTTCTAACATGAAAAAATGTTATTTCTCTTTCTGTACTTCTTTTGCATAAGGTTGATTCCTTTCTATTTGGAAAGGATCTTTATTATATTGATCATCACAGACTCCACTTAATTTTGTGTCAACCCATTTGGTTACAAGTTATCTCATAACTTGGAGGTTATGCATCTGTTCTCTTCATTTCGGTGACTTCCCTCCCATGCCTATTTCATGAATGATCCAGCTTTCTCAGGTTTCATTGCCCTAAATGTCACATTTCTTTTGTGCACAATTTTGAATATTGAGTCAGCTGACTCCATATGAATAGTTATTTTTAGCATCAACGCAGCATGGTTGCTAAAGGTGAATCCTTTTAGACCTCATTGGATTTGCTTGACTGCTTTTGGCTTACCACAGAGATAGAAGAGGGAATAATTGTCACAAACACAGAGAGATGGTAATAGTCACAGACAGAGAGAAAGAGAAAGTTCAATATACAACTTAACCTCTCTAAGGTTCAATCGTTTTTCATTCAGAGGTGTCAGTGTAAGATTGTCACGTACACCCCACACCCAAAAGAGAAAAATGTTTATTTTTCTGTAGGCCAGTGCACAGTTAGACACAAGATAAAGAATAGTGCATTTATTCTTGATGTCTTTAATATTTTGAATTTGTTAATGAAACCCTTGTAATGCTAGACTCCAAGCTAGAAGTTTTCTATTCTTGTTTTTCATCTTATTGATAAAAACTAACAGGCTGTGATCCATATAAATAACTGTAAGTGGCTGTGATGTTGTCAAATAAATTTCAAAATGTTGTAAGCTAGATACTAGTGCAATGACTTCTTCTTCTACTATAGAATATCCAATCTATGTACAAATCTCTTTTATTTCTAAGATATCTCTAATCACAAGATTCCAAGAGAGCTAATATGTGTTGATCATCTCTGCTTTTGAAGTATGGTTTAATCATATATACATGACATTTTTTAAATCTCTTCTTACAATCAAGGGTGTTCACTACATCATTGAAGTTATTTATCTTTCTCTTGGTTATGTATGTCACCTGACATCAAGCTTTAAGGGGGTGATTATTCATAGGTAGTAAATATACCTCAAATTTTCATTCCACTGTTTTCTTATCGTAGCACCCTTTCATTTTACTTTGAACACTTCTAAGGTGCACTGCCAACAGAATCTCATGAGCTGTTCTCAGTATTCTGTGCTGATAGGCCCTTGGAACTACTATTTGTTAATTAGTTGCCCAGTATGCTGAACCTGGGATTGGAGGCAGTTTCCATGTCCTCATTAATATTCCATTTTTAATGTAATGTAAATTTGATATGTTATCTGGATTATTCTCCAATCTCACCTGGTTAATAATTTGCCTTAGTTCAACCTACTGGGACCTGAGTTCCTAAGTTATGTGGATAACTAGGTTTAGTCTTGTTTCTTCTGATGGTCACATCACATTTGTCTGCTAACATTTTTAAGTGATTTCTACTTTACTTTCATTTATGTGAGTCTTTATGTCCTCAGGTATACAGTTTTTAAACTCTTTGATCAACACTATCTGCTTAAATTTTTTGTAATTGGTTTTGATATTTCTCATTGCATTCTACCTGTCGAAATAAGTCTTTTTTCTTGTAAAAACTTGACACATTTGAGCGTCTATCTTTCTATAGTTCCTGAACTTTTGGTGGTATGCCTTTGAACGCATTCATAATTTTTGAGAATGGCTGGTTTTACTAAGTTATAATCTGCACTATCCTCTATTGAAAGAGCTGTACATGTCTTTCCTGCATAAGATGGTTGCAACAGCATTGGCCAATTATTTTTCAGCCAGTTCAAATTTATTGCTGTTTTTTGAAGTGTGGAAAGTAATCATTGACTTTACCTTCTTGAAAATTTGGTACAAGCTAAACTTGTTTGATCAGGTTAAACTCTCGTTGCCTTGCCTCATCACTTTGCCTGTTTATCTTCAACTCCCTAAACCTAACCTCCTGCTATATGCGTACCCTTTCAATTTGTTGTTAGACTGGCCTTTTCTAATTCAATTTGTGCCTGGTACATTTCTTGTACATCGATAAGTAACTGATTTAATATTTCTTCCTCAAATATATTGATATATACCATGTGCTCTGCTATCGTCCTAACCAGATTTGACTTCCTCATTGCCTTTGTGTCATCCAACTCTAAATGCCTCCCCATATCTAGTATGTCATCTTTTCTTAGTTAGTTTCTACGACCAACATTTTATCCTGTGGTTTATTGCTATAAAGCCTTGTTACAGACCAATTGTTGCAGAATAAAATTTAAAAAGAAAAGATAAAAAGCAACAACTTGTTGCCAAAGGATATAACCAGGTTTACCAGTGGAAGGATTCTCTAAAGAGTCAACTACATGAATGAGATGAGACAACCAACAGTAATGGGCAACAGATGTCAATATACAAATTAACAAAATTGGGCATCTCAAGGTGATGTAATGGTTAGCAAGCTTATCTTGCTAGAACAATTACGACTGAATTGTGAGTTTGATCCTCACAGGATGCCCCCTACTTTCGGCCTTGTGCTACATCTAAGCCATGCTTGGAACATCACTACAAATTAACAAAATTTAATTATAACGAGATGAGACATGAAAACATTGATGCAAGGGAATGCATGAAAAGATGTGTTCTATGCATTTCTGTGTTGAAAGATGTATGTGTTATATTGTTGAGATGAAAAATTACAACAATCACTTAGCTTCAGTCTTTTGCCTGAAATAAAATAAGGTTTTCTCTTTTCCCTTTTCTCTCTTGTTTTATATTTCTCTTTGCTCTTTCTACTTTCAGTTCAATTCATCAGACAGCGGTATCTTTTATTTGGATAGAAAAATTTGATTCCCTATAAGTTGTGTCCAACTGAGTGGGTCACACCTGTCTTAGGTAATTATTATGCTCAGTAATTCACCTATGCATTTGATGTAAGCAGCATAGTGTGTTGAGTTGAACTGGAACTTGTCTTCATTGTGAAATGACAGTAACAAGTAAAAAGAGATATTACTCACACTAGACTTGGTTTCTAATTGATTCTTGCCCATCTTTTCCTGCTCAATGTTTGTACTCAATCATGTGATTCTGCATGTGCATGAGAATCTATTTTTAGCTTTTGTTTGAAGCTGTTACTGGGATCAAAAGCAAATACTATTGTAGATTAAAAAGAGAGTGGGTGAGTTAATGTATTATATTATTAGAGAGATGGTTTGTTAAATATAAAACGTGTGTAGTTAGGAGTCTTGGCAGCATAAAGATATAACAGCCCCCACATGGATTTTCACTGTGAAATATGAGTACAAAAATAACATTGAGCTTTTTTCAATTGACTGAAATCAAATATACTTCTGTTTCTATCTTTTCTTACTCTCTCTCTCTCTCTCTCTCTCTCTCTCTCATTATATCGTTCTCCTTTCACTTTTTCCTTTCTTTTCTTTTTTATGTATAATATTT